GTAAGATCTTTTTAAGGTTTGCTAAATATTTTGTTGAGGATTTTTGCATCTATTTTCACCATTGATATTGTAATTTTTTTATGGTGATCTTGTCTGATTTTGGTACAAGGGTAATGCTGGTCTCATAAAATGAATTTGGAAGTATTCTCTTCAGTTTTTGGTAGAGTTTGAAAGGATTGGCATTAATTCTTGAATGTTTGATAGATTTCATCAGTGAAGACATCTGATCCTTGACTTTGGTTTGTAGGGAGTTTTAAATTACTGATTCAGTCTCCTTACTAATATTTGGTCTGTTCAGATTTCTATTTCTTTATGATTCAGTCTTGGGAGATTGTATTAGGACTTTATCAATTTATTGTTCAATTTGTTGGCATATAATTTTTCATAGAATTCTCTTATTTTTCATGCTTCTGTGATATCAGTTGTAACATGTCTTTTATTGCTTTTATTTTTGAGCCCTCTCTTTTTTTCATTAGATTTTTAGTGACCTTCACATACCCGGAATCACATTAATCAATCATTAGTTCATTACATATCATCATTGGTCCGTGCCTGCATGGATTTCTTATTTATTTTTAATAAGACAAGTAAGGATCGTGAACCTACCACACAGTATAAAAGCCCAGACATTAACCAAAACGTATATAGCTCTGTGATCTTTTCCAAGCCTTTCCTTCTTCAAGCACTTAAAACTACAAAATTAAGTGCTTGCTATGATGTGACAGGGCTAACCTAAACTGAGAATTCAAGGATGGCCTCCATGTGGAGGTAATGTCTGAGTTCCGGGAAGATGAAGAGCCCTGAGGAATAGAGAGGAAGAAACCAGAAATGTGATAAAATTAAAAAGGAGTCAATGCTTTAAGAGAACAGTCACCAACCTTTCGGACCTCACAGACCACCGGTTGGCGACTGCTGCTTTAAGAAGTCAGGCCTCCTTAGCATCACATGACAAAGACTGCAGGAGTAATTTAGAGCTGATTTGATTTCTGATTTGATCCACAGGGCTCTTACCTGGAGTGGAGATCCTCATTCTCCTTCCACTGGATCTTGACTGGCATCTCCACTCCATTATCCCTTTTGCAGGGCAATGATCCAGTGAGGTGTCAAGTGAATACTCTATATCTCGTTGCCACATGAACATATAAGTGGATGCACATAGGGCAAACCAATGTTGTTCAAGGGTCAGCTGTATAATCTAAGTTGGCTTCTGACAGTCCATGCCTAATGCAGTACACAAGTGATCATGCATATTTTACGTGTCAATTGTCTAACACCCACCTGATTAGTATGCTCAGCCTTCATGTCCATGACCACTGTTTATACCTATAAAACTTATATTGAACATTGTTGTGTTACTGTGCTAGGGCTGCCATAACAAAATACCATACATGGAGTGGCTTAAACAAATATTTATTTCTCACAGTTCTCTAAGATCAAGGTGTCAGCAGCATTGGTTTCTCCTGAGCTTCTTTCCTTGGTTTGCACTCAGATGGCGATCCCTTATATCACACATCTCTTGTATCTCTTCTTATGAGGACACCAGTCCTATTGGATTAGAGCCCGGCCCTTATGACCTCATCTAACCTTAATTATAAATACCTCTTTGAAGGCCCTGTTTCCAAATGTAGTCCCATTGGGGGATAGGACTTTAACATATGAATTCTGTCTTTAACAACTGTCAATCCCTCATCCTCTTTGAAGTGGGACCCAAGCAACTCTTTCCTCCTAGCAGTCTTTCATGTTGAAGCCAGAAAGCTTACTTAAAAGCCAACCTATTGGTGTCAAATTCCCAATATTAAGTCCTATGATGGTGCCCTCAGCTTTCAATACAGTTCAGATTGCTTAAATTAACCCATAAGCATCTATGGCATTGACATCTTTGTCAACTCTCTGGTCTTAAATTCCACTATGTACAAGCCACCCACCACACACACTGCCTTTTCCCCCTCTGCCTGCCTCCCCTGCCCCGAACCCTTCCCCCCGCTACCCCCTCACTCCCCAACCCCACTCCCCCACACACACACTGAGCTGCTGCTTTATGGAAGTGATTACAACTTTCCAATTTCAGGTTTTGTTCTGTGGGTTTTCATCTGCTCTTCTATCTATTGCATTCTTAAAATTGATTTAAGAAAGAGAGAGAAAAGGAGAGGAAGAAAGAGAGACATCAGTTGATTGTTCCACTTACTTATGCATTCATTGGTTGATTCTTTATGTGACTGATGAGAGATCAAACCTGCAACCTTGGCATCTCAGGACAACATTCTAACTGAGCTCCCCATCCAGGACTACTCTCAATTCCATCTCCTAAGCAAGTAGCTCTGTGTGAGCTGTTTTGGATCCTGCCTGTGCGGATGATCATGGGGCATTTTTCTTATTGATTTGCTCACCTGTCACTAGCTGGTCCTGGCTGCTGAGCTGTCTTGCTAATGATCATTACCCAACCTTTTTTTTTTTTTTGCTTTGGTACATTTATATATTGTAATATGCTTGCCCCTGAACCATTATTTATCACATACTGTAATTGTATTATATTATCTATATTTATAATGTGTTACAATACTGTGCTATACTGATCTCTATGGCTTATTTACATTCATTGTAAGTTTTTTACTCTTAAACATTGATCTTATCCCCCTCCCTACCCCCAACACCTATTCCTGGATAACCATTATACCCTGTTTTTTATAAGTTTGACTTTTTTAGATTCCACATATAAGTGATATCATACAGTACATTGTGTCTTTCCCTGTCTGTTTTACCTCATTTAGAATAGTGTGCTCAAGGTCCATCTATATTGTAAATAGCAGGATATCTTCCTTTCACATGACTAAATAATATTCCAGTGTGTGTGTGTGTGTGTGGCATATATATATATATGCCAGATCTTTTTAATCCATACATCTGTTGATGAGCATTTAGGTTGTTTCCATATCTTGGCTATTGTGAATAATGCTGCAATAAAGTTGGAAGTGCCTATATCTCTTAAAAATCTTGTTTTCATTTCTTCTAAGTACTGTATTTTTCAGACCATAAGACGCTCCAGACCATAAGACGCACCAGTTTTTAGAGAAGGGAAATGAAGAAAAAAGATTCTGAAACAAATAGTGTCCTAAAATATTTTATGTGCATTAAAACCCAACATCACAGTCATAAACACATGTAATCAACCCTGTAAAGTAAACAGCAGCATTTAGAACCATTTTAGAGCTGGGCAAGCACACAGAGACCACACAGAGCCGGGCAAGTAAAAAAACTTTTTTTTTAAAGTATATGTGTAGGCTATATTTGGACCATAAGACGCAGGGACTTTTCCCCCCCACTTCTGGGGGGGAAAAAGTGCGTCTTATGGTCCGAAAAATACGGTATATACCTAGAAGTAGAATTGCTGGATTGTTAACGATAGGTCTACTTTTTTTTTTTTTTCCTTTTTTCTAATGGCAGATCTACTTTTAATTTTTTTTAGGAACCTCCATATTTTTTTCCATAGTGGCTAGACCAATTTACATTCCCACCGACAATACACAAGGGTTCCCTTTTCACCACATCTTCACCAGCACCTTTGTTTTCTTGTCTTCTTGATGAAAGCCATTCTGACAGGCAAGAGGTAGATACCTCATTGTGGTTTTGCTTCGCATTTCCCTGATGGTTAGTGATGCTGATACCTTTTCTTGTGCCCTTTTGCCGTCTTGATGTCCTCTTTGGAAAAACATCTATTTAGTTTATGTACATTTTTTAATTCGATTTGTTTGGTTTTTGTTATTCAGTTGTATGAGCTCTTTATATATTTTGCATATTAACCCCTTATCTGGCATATGGTTTGCAAATATCTTCTCCTATCCTGTAGGTTGCCTTTTCATTTTAATTATTACTTTTGCTGTGTAGAAACTTTTGAGTATATAGCCCCATTTGTTTTTGTTGTTTGTGCTTTTAGTGCCATGTCCAAAAAAATCATTGCCAAGACTAATGTTGAGGACCATTTCCCCTACATTTTAATCTAGGAGTTTGTGGTATTAAGTCTTACATTTAAGTCTTTTATCCATTTTAAGTTAATGTTTGTGAGTGGTGTGATATAGGGATCCAATTTTATTATTATGCATGTGTTTCTCTAGTGTTCTCAACACTATTTGTTGAAGAGACTATCCTTTACTCATTGGGTATTCTCAGCTTCTTTGTCAAATATTCGTTGACTGAATATGCCAGGATTTAATTCTGGGCTATTCAGTTTCTTCAGTCTGTAGGGTCTATTTTTGTGCTTATTATTATTTGTAAATAATAATAATAATCACAATTAATCAATCATTAGTTCACTACATATTCATCATTGGTCTGTGCCTACATGGATTTCTTGTTTATTTTTAATAAGACAAGTAAGGATCGTGAATCTACCACACGGTATAAAAGCCCAGACTTTAACCAAAACATATATGGCTCTGGCGTCTTTTCCAAGCCTTTCCTTCTTCAAGCACTATTTGTTGAAGAGACTCATTGGGTGTTCTCAGCTTATGAGAACATAATACTGTTTTTATTACTATGGTTTTCTACTATAGTTTGAAATCAGAAAGTATGACACCTCTGGCTTTGTTTTTGTTTTCGTGGGGTTTTTTTCAGGATTGCTTTGATTATGTGGTTCCACACAAGTTTTAAGATTGTTTCTATTTCTGTGAAGAATGTCTTTAGTATTTTGATGGAGATTGTGTTGAAGCATGGCTTTGGCTCATATGAACATTTTAACAATATTAATTCTAACAATTCGTGAACACATGATGTCCCCAGATTCGTTTGTGTCTTCTTTGATTTCTTTCTTCAAAGTTTTGTAGTTTTCATTATATAGATTTTTCACTTACTTGATTAGGAAAAAAATTCGTTTTATTGTGAATGGGATAGTCTTTATTTCTTTTTCAGATTAGTATAAAGTAATGCAGCTCACTTCTGTATGTTGATTTTGTATCCTGCTACTTTACTGAAATTGTTGATTGGATCCAACAGCTTTTTTCACTAACTCTTTTGGATTTTCTCTATATAAAATCATACCTTCAGGCTCACTCGCTGATCTGGTGGCTGTGACTACTAGGCGTGGAGCAGGCACGGAGATGGAAAATCCAGTTATCAAAATTGGCTCCAGAAAAGAGAACCTAACATCTATTAACAATGGAAAAATTTGAGAACATTACAAAAAAAAGCCACCATTCCTCAAAACACCAGGACCAGATGGCGTTACAACTTTAAAAAATCCTTCATGAAGAAGACAGATCTTAAGCCACATGATGGATTCAGAAGCTCATAAAAAGAGGTCACCAATCATAGCATCTTCAAAACAAGAGATAGCAACTCATAATACAGATGTTGGTGGAATTAAACCTTATATGTGTGGCTGCGGTGCAGCTGTCAGCAATGTAGCATTCACATATCCCATTCAGAAGGTGCTCTTTCGGCAACAGCTGTATGGAATCAAAACCAGGGATGCAATGCTTCAGGTGAGGAGGGATGGATTTCAAAACTTGTATCGTGGAAGTCTTCCCCCATTAATGCTGAAGACAACGTCATTAGCACTTATGTTTGGTGTGTATGAGGATTTAACTTGCTTTCTCCGTAAGCATATCCGTACCCCACAATTTGCAGCCCATAGCATGGCAGCATTATTTGCAGGGACAACAGAAGCAATTTTCACTCCATTGGAAAGAGTTCAGACACTGCTTCAAGACCAAAAATATCATGATAAATTTACAAACACTTACCAGGTTTTCAAGGCACTGAAATGTTATGGAGTTGGAGAGTATTATCGAGGCTTGATACCTATTCTTCTCCGTAATGGGCTCTGCAATGTCCTTTTTTTTGGCCTTCGAGGTCCTATTAAGGAGCGTCTTCCTACCGTAACGACCCGCAGTGGTCACATGGTCACTGATTTTATCTGTGGAGGTCTGTTGGGTGCCATGTTGGGAGTCTTATCTTTTCCAATTAATGTTGTAAAAGTTCGCACGCAGTCTCAAATTGGTGGGGAATTTCAGTCTTTTCCCAAGGTTTTCAAAATAATCTGGTTGGAACGAGACAGGAAATTGACAAATCTTTTCAGAGGTGCCCATCTAAATTACCACCGGACCATCATCTCTTGGGGCATAATCAATGCATCTTATGAATTCCTGTTAAAGGTTATATGAAAGAAATAATCAACTAAGTGCCGTTTACCAATTGACTAGACCTTCAACGAAGAATGTGGTTTGGCCTCATTTCTAATTGGCCAAATGAATGCTGGTATAAATTCAGGGCACAATGAATTATGGCAAAGCTGTTTCCCTTAAGCACCAACAAATTCAGAATAAAAGGTTTCAATAGGAAAATGTAAGGATTTGGGGTTTTTGTTTGTTTGTTTGTTTAAAATATGTTTCTATTGATTTTAAAGAGAGGACAGGAGAGAGAGAGAGAGAGAGAGAGAGAGAGAGAGAGAGAGAGAGAGAGAGAGAAACATCAATAATGAGTGAGAATCATCAATTGTCACCTCCTGCAAATCCACTACTAGGGATCAAGCCCTGGGCCTGTGGCCTGGTACCCGAGCATGTGCTGAGACGAGGAATTGAATGGCAATCTTCTGGTTCCTGGGTCAATGCTCAATCACTGAACCACATCGCCCAGGCTGTTTGTTTAGTTTTGTTTTCATTATTACCTGAGAACTTTGGGCTAATTGCTTGGTTAATAGCTGTCTATCTGATGGACGGCTTTTGATGAGGAAACTAATAGCCAATATGGTCTTTTTCCCCAAAAGTCTTTAAATCTTCTGTATTAAAATGTAAGTGGCCATGACCAGCCAGAGAAAATGCTCCTAGGGCCCCTTTAATTTGGCAGGCTTACTCTTATTACTCCATTTCTTGCTTCTCTCCTCTTAGGAGGAGTTGCAAAGTATAGTCTTTGCTAAACTGAAGCATATATACACAAGGAGCACGACAGATAAGAAAGCTTAATGGGCGTAAGCTTTTATGATAAATTGCTTGCATTAGTTTTGAAACACCTTTTGGGATAATTATTATCCATGCTGCTTCTATTTAGGCATGGTAGACTCAAGCAGCTAGTGAAAGCTCCCATTTGCTTTCTAGATTTGAAAGTTTCTGTCTAGTTCTGAATGTGACCTTCAACTTGTCCAAAATATCCTTGTGTTAATTTCACTTATTCCATTGCCATAAGGTGGGGAGACTTAAATTTTGTCATGGGCATTTCATCTTATTAAGTTTCATATCTACACTAATAAAATAGAAATATGTAAATTGACCATCACTTCGCAAATGCCCACCAGCCAATTAGCAGACAAAGATGGCAGTGGCCACAGTGCCAGCCAGAGCAAACAGGAAGCTTGGGTCGCCCCTTGCAATGGAGAAAACCAAGCTTCCCGCCCACCCAGACTGGCCACCAAAGGAGGGGCCTGTGAGCAGAGGACACAGAGCCAGCCCAGGTGCACAGGAGGCTTGGGTCACCATTGCCCAGACCAGCAGCCAAGGGAAGGGCCTGCAAACAGTCCTCAGCCCCTTACCCAAACTGGCCATGTTCTCAGGGGGTAAGGAGTCCCCACTGGGGGCCATGGCCAGCCTGCAAATAGCCATCAGCTCCTCACCCAGGCTGACCAGGCACCCCAGTGGGGACCCCTCCCTGAAGGAGGTGTGGCCATCCTGAAAACTGCCCTCAGCCCCTCACCCAATCTGGCCATGCCCTCTCAGCAGGAACCCTCACCCCATGGGGGTGTGGCTGGCCTGCAAACTGCCCCAGACCCTTGCCCAGGCCAGCACTGTCCCCAGTGGGTATCCCTACCCCAATGGGGGCATGACCGGACTGCAAACCACCACAGGCCCCTTGCCCAAGCCACCCTATCCCTCAAGGGAACCCCCACTCTGATCTATGATACCCTGCAGGGCAAGCCAGCCGGCCCCCACCCATGTACCAGGCCTCTATCTATATTAATAAAAGGGTAATATGCTAATTAGACTGGGAGACCTTCCAGGAGACCTTCCAGATGTTCTTCTGGACAAAGCCATAGTGGCAAGCCAAGGTAGAGCCAATTAGGGGCTAAGAGGGGGGGTCAGTTGGGGGTGAGCAGGCCAGGATGGGAAGGCAGTTGTGGGTGATCAGATGGGGGAGGGCAGTTGGGGGTGATCAGGCTGGAGAGGGCAGTTTGGGGCAGGCAGGCCAGCGGGGCGGGGGGAGGGGCAGTTGGGAGAGAGGTCAGCAGGCAGAGTGGTTAGGGGTAATCAGGCAGGCAGGTGAGCGGTTAGGAGCCAGTCCTGAATTGCAAGAGGAATCCCAGATTGGAGAAGATGCAGGCAAGGCTGAGGGACACCCTCCTCATGTGCAAATTTTGTGCACCAGTCCACTAGTTAATTATATAAAAATCAAACTCTCTTTAGATGGATTTCTTTGAATTATTGTTGCCAACTTAGCAAAAAGTTGGGGGTTTTTGCCCTTTAGGTACTAGTTCATCTTACCAAGTATTCTGTTCTCTTGAAACACCTTTTAAAAAATTCTTCCATACAATTTTATTTTAAAAGTTTACTTAATAGGAGCCCAGATTTTTCTTTCTTTCTGGTTTCTCAATGTTTTGGGGGAGAGGGGAAACTCAGGAAAGCTTTCATCCCACAATGTTAGCTATGTGTTGTTGTTTTTGTTTTTGTTTTTTTGTGTGTTGTTTTTTTTTTTTTTGGTTTAGCTTTGGAAATAGGGACTTCTATTAGGATTTTTACGTTTTGGGAGCCCAATTTTACCATTTTATCATTAAAACAGTTTGAGATGATAAGATCTAAATAAAGATATTTGAAGAGTTAATTTTAAATTTCTAGAAGTTGGAAATAGCTAGATAGTCATCCCTTACCTAACAAAAATGTATTTTTCAAAGGAATCAGATTTTAAAATTTATTTTCCCAATTAGGCAAAATGATTCATACAACAGTTGAATGATTAATAAAACACGAAACATCCTAGAAAAGTGGTTTATTTTTTAAAAACCTACATCTGTAAATATGTAGTTACAATTGCTTTCCAGCATCTGACATAGCAGAGTAGTCAGGTTTCTTATTACCAGTTTTTCAGCAGTCTGGGTAATTGCGTATGAAAATGTGCACATAATGATTAAAATAAAATCAGGGTCTCAATTATTCCGTTTCTGGGCAGATAGTGCAAAACAGATGTTTACCTCTACTTGCAGTATGGCTGGTCAAATAAAATGATCATCCTTCTTCCAACCAAAAGGATTAGGAGGCATAGTCAAGTGTTTGTTAGGCAATAATCAAGCTCGGAGATTTACAACAGCTCTGTCTGACAATGTTGTGCTCAAAATGGCAGTCGACTTTAGCAACCAAGGTGCGGAGGTAAAGATTTCAGAAAACTGTCACCAAATACACATAACATCCTTTGGCGTATCAAATAGAGTCAAGAGTGAGGATTGGAAGTGGTTCAGAAATAAATGACATTGGTGCCTGACCCCTCATGTGTGTGTGTGTGTGCCCCTGAGTGCTGCTTGTCTAGGTGCACCAAGAATGTGGCAGGTGTGTTAGCCTGAGGTCATGCTCTGGCCCAGGAAGTGGACTCCCCCCGCCTTCGGTTCTGCAGGGCTTGCTTTTGTCTTTACACTCCGTGCAGGTAGTAGAAACCTAACTTCTAAAGCACTTTGTAAAATACAAGTGAAGTGAGAATGTGAAGGAGGATGGTTTGGTTTCTGCTGTCTCAATCTTCAGCAAATAAAAATTTAACTTCTGCCAAAACCGGTTTGGCTCAGTGGATAGAGCGTTGGTCTGCAGACTGAAGGGTCCCAGGTTCGATTCCGGTCAAGGGCATGTACATTGGTTGTGGGCACATCTCTGGTGGGGGGTGTGCAGGAGGCAGCTGATCGATGTTTCTCTCTCATCGATGTTTCCAGCTTTCTATCCCTCTCCCTTCCTCTCTGTAAAAAATCAATAAAATATATATTAAAAAATTATAAAACATTAAAAAAATTTTTTTTACTTTTTTTCCAATTTAGATGGCTTTTATTTCTCTTTTTCTTACCTAAATGTTTTAGCTAGGACTTCCAGTACTATATTGAATAGGGGAGGTGAGAGAAGGCATCCTTGTTTCTGATCTAAAGGTAAAAGCCTTCAATTTTTCTCCATTGGGTAAAATGTTAGCTGTGGGTTTGTTGTATATGGCCTTTATTATGTTGAGATATGTTCCTTCTATACCCAATATGTATTTTTTAAATATATTTTATTGATTTTACACAGAGGAATTGAGAGGGATAGAGAGTTAGAAACGTCAATGAGAGAGAAACATCGACCAGCTGCCTCTTGCACACACCCCACTGGGGATGTGCCTGCAACCAAGGTACGAGCCCTTGACCGGAATTGAACCTGGGACCCTTCAGTCTGCAAGCCGATGCTCTATCCACTGAACCAAACCATTTTTGGCTATATCCAATATGTTAAAGGTTGTTTTATTTAATCATGAAAGGATGTTGTATTTGTCAAATGCTTTCTCTACATCTATTGAGATAATCATGTGATTTTTATCTTTCATTTTATTGATCTGAAATTCTACATTGAGTTGCATATGTTGAACCATCCTTGCATTCCAGGGATAAATCCCACTTTGGCATTTTGTATAATCCTTTCTATGTGTTCTTAAATTTGATTTGCTAATATTTTGTTGAGAATTTTTATATCTATATTCATCGGGGTAATTTGTCTGTAGTTTTCTTTTTTTGTGTGGTATCCTTATCTCGTTTGGTATTAAGGTAATATTGAGTTTGCAGAATGAGTTTGAAAGTGTTCCTCCTCCTTGATATTTTGGAAGAGTTTGAAGAAGATTAATTCTTCTTTAAATGTTTGGAAGAATTCACTAGTAAAAGCCTTCTAGTCCTGGGGTTAATTACTAATTCAGTCTCATTACTAGTTATTATGCTCATATTTTCTATTTCTTCTTGATTCAATCTTGGTAGGTTGTGTGTTTCTAGAAATGTATCTATTCTTGGTTACGTAATTTGTTGGAATATAATCTGTAATACTAAAAGGGTAATAGGCTAATTGGACCAGACACCCTTCCTAATGAAGCCAGGGCTGGAGGGAAGTCAGCCCGGGTCCTGGGTGCCTGTGGGTGGCCCGAGGGAAGCCAGCTTGGGTCCCGGGTGCATGCAGGTGGCTGGAGGAGGGAAGCAAGCTGTTGTCCTGGGTGCCTGCGGGTGGCCAGAGGAGGGAAGCAGCACAGGTCTTGGGTGCCAGAGGGAAGCCAGTGCTGGCAGCCAGGGGAAGGAAGGCCTACTCTTACATGAATTTTCATGCATTGGGCCTCAAGGAGTTCATAATAGTCTCTTATGAGCCTATGACTTTCTGTAGTTTCAGTTGTAATGTCTCTCTTAATTTTATTTCAGTCTTTTTTCATAGCTTAGCTAAAGGTTTGTCCATTTTATCTTTGAAAGAAGCAGCTCTTTTGTTGATACTGTCCATTGTTTTTCTATATCTTTCATTTATTTCTGTTCTGATCTTTATTTCCTTTCTGCTAACTTTGTTCTTTTTTTATTTTTCAATTATAGTTTATGTACAATTATTAGTTTCAGATGTATAACTCAGTGATTATACATTTATATAACTTATGAAGTGATCACCCCAATAAATCTAGTACACATCTGATACCATATATAGTTATAATATTACCAGTGGCCCGGTGCACTAAATTCATGCATGGGGGTCCCTTAGCCTGGCCTGCACCCTCTCCAATCTTGGACCCCTCGGGGGATGTCCAACTGCCAGTTTAGGCCTGATCCCACAGGGATTGGACATCCCTCTCGCAATCTAGAACATCTGGCTCCTAAATGCTCATCTGCCTGCCTGCCTGATTGCCCCTAACCACTCTGCCTGCCGACTCACCCCAACTGCCCCTTTGCTGGCCGGCTCACCCCCACCTACCCTCCCTGCTGACCTGATTGCCCCAAACTGCCCCCACTGCTGGCCTGCTCGCCCCCAGCTGGCCCCCCACTTCCACCGGTCTGATCACCCACAACTGCCATCCCATCCTGGCCTGATCACCCACAACTGCCCTCCTCTCTTGGCCCCTAACTGCCTCTACCTTGGCCCCACCCACCATGGCTTTGTCCAGAAGAAAGTCTGTAAGGTCGTCTGGAAGGTCTCCCAGCCTAATTAGCATATTTCCCTTTTATTAGTATAGATTGACTATGCTCCCTATGATGTACTTTACATCCCCCTTACTATTCTATAACTAACAATTTGTACTTCTTAATCTCTTCACTTTTCCACACAACCTCCCAACCCTTCTCCCATCTGACAACCATCAGAATAGTCTCTATCTATGAATTGGTTTTTTTGTTTTTGTTTTTTAATTTTTAAAAATGTTTTTAATTATTTTAGAGAAAAAAAGAAGAAGAAATACAAAACAAAACAAAACAAAAAAAACACTGATGGGCTACCTCCTGCATGCTCCCTACCGGAGATTGAGCTTGCAACCTAGGCATGTGCCCTGACTAGGAATTGAACCCACCATCTCTCCATGCATCTCTCCATCCATGCTCAATCAACTAAGCCATAGCAGCCAGGGATTGTTCTTGTTTAGATTCCTCATTTAAGTGAAATCGTATGGCATTTGTCCTTCTGACTTATTTCACTTAGCACAATGCCTTCTAAGTTAGTCCATGTTGTTGCAGATGGCAAGATTTCATTCCTTTTTTATGACTGAATAATAGTCCATTGCATATATGCACTATTTCTTTTTTTAAATATATTTTTATTGATTTCAGAGAGGAAGGAAGGAGAGAGACAGAAACATCAATGATGAGAGAGAATCATTGATCGGCTGCCTCCTGCATGCCCTACACTGGGGATTGAGTCCGCAACCTAGCCATGTGTTCTGACGGAGAATTGAACCATGACCTCCAGGTTCATAGATCGACACTCAACCACTGAGCCATGCCAGCTGGGCTATGTACCACTTCTTTATCCATTCACCTATTTAAAAAATATATATATTTTATTGATTTTTTACAGAGAGGAAGGGAGAGAGATAGAGAGCCAGAAACGTCGATGAGAGAGAAACATCAACCAGCTGCCTCCTGCACACCCCCTATCGGGGATGTGCCCGCAACCAATGTACATGCCCTTGACCGGAATCGAACCTGGGACTTTTCAGTCCGCAGACCGACACTCTACCACTGAGCTCCATTCACCTATTGATGGACATTTAGATTGCTTCTATATCTTGGCTATTGTAAATAATGCTGCAATAAACCTATGGATGACAGATATGTATTTATTGCCATTTTATTATTCATATTTTAATCTTTTTGCTTCATCTTCAATAGGACTTTTTAACACTTCTTTAAAGTATTTTTATTATATTTATTGGGGTGACATTGGTTAATAAATGTTATAGGTTTCAAATGTACGTTTCTATGACACATGATCTGTATATTGTATTGTGTGCCCACCACCCAAAGTCATCTTCAGGACCATATAGTTGGTCCCCTTTACTACTTCCCCACCGCTCTTCCCTCTGGTAACCACCATACAGTAGTCTGTGTCTGAATTTCAGTTTTATAACGTTCTGTAATACTGGTTTGATGGTGATGAACTCCCTTTAGCTTTTCCTTGTCTGGGAAGCTATCTGTCCTTCAAATCTAAATTAGAGCTTTGCTGGGTAATTTGGTTGTAGGTCCTTCCTTTTCATCACTTTGCATACTTAGTGTGAATCCCTTCTGGCTGGGACCCCTCACTCCTCAGGGAACACTTCAACCAAGATATCCCTCCCAATTTTTATCTACCACATGTGGCTGTGGGACTAGCCCCTTCCACATCTCTGACCCTCCTATCAATCTGATGTGGTTTCTTCTTTATATTTTCCTTATAGGACTTCTGTTTGGCTAGATTTCAGGTGATTTTTCAATGATGATTGTCCTGTAGCTTAGCTGTAATTTTGATCTAGTTGAGAGGTTTCGAGTATCACGTTTACCTCTGCCACCATCTTGACTGGAAGCTGAGTTTTATTCATTCTTTTCCTAGTTCCTTGAGGTATAAAGTTAGGTCATTTGAAAACTTTCTAATTTCTTAAAATATATTTATTGCTGTAAATTTTCCTCTCAGAACTGCTTTGCTGCATTCTACAAGATTG